CTGGTGGAGTCATTGCATCAATATTGGTGGTCCTATGCTTGTTCTGGATTGGTTTGGTGGACGGTATCGGTTTCGAAGGCAAGGAGACGACGACATTACTGAATCCTACAACACTTCCTATTGCTATTGGTCTGTATGGCTTCTGCTATTCTGGACATGCTGTTTTCCCCAATATTTATGGTTCAATGGCAAAACCAAGTCAATTCTCTGCAGTCCTCTTAACATGGTAATGTAAAATGCCGAACTATGATCAGAAAGTGTTCAATTTATTACTCATCTACCTATTTTATCATTCACCAAGTCAAGTGAATGAATAAGAAGTTTAATGTCCTCCCGTGAACATAATCGTTTTACACTAAAAGTTTCAAGTCTCATGCAGTTTCGTTGCTTGTACTTTGATGTATGCTGGAGTTGCTTTTATGGGATATTCAATGTTTGGAGAATCGACAATGTCACAGTTCACTCTTAACTTGCCCAATAACTTGGTTGCATCGAAGATTGCCATCTGGACTACGGTATAGTCACTATAATTTCCCTTTCCAATGGTGATCAATGACCCTCCTTGTATTTATATTTATATTCTACTGTCAGATATACCTCTTCAAYTTTTCTAATGCTGTTCAATTTTGGGAGGCTTTTGGTCATCTTATAGATGAAAAATAATATAATCTTTTACTTCAATATCCATAGCTTTGTAAATCAGTGGGAGGCATGTTGCTGATTCTGAGCAGTAACATGTCGTTCCCACCAATTTTATCTCAAAACTTTTTCCCTCCCTGTTTTTAGCTCTCAGTGGCTGAGGTTTATTGTCTGTTAATGCATAATCTGTAGCAGTCAGTGGCTAATACTTCGTCTCTGATTTGTTTATTTTCAGGTGGTTAACCCATTAACCAAATATCCTTTTATCTTTCTAGATAATGCAATGAACTCTTCCAATTTCAATACAGTTCAAAGTTATATATTATATGGTACAATCAGATAAGAGTAGAAACAACAAGAAGAATGCATACAACATCTTACATGAACAACGATGATTTTTCTTAATGAAATCTACATATGCGTTATCGCTGACTCCAATTGCAATGAGTCTGGAGGAGCTGATACCATCAAATCATTCCCAGTTTTTCACATTCTCAATCCTTATTAGAACAGCTCTTGTCATCTCCACCTTGATTGTGGGTCTCTGCATCCCTTTCTTTGGTAAGTACATCACTATTTGCTATAAAATGAATATGAAATTTTCGATTCTGACAAAACAGTTGAATAAGTTCTGAGATTCACAAAACTCTTTTTTTTTTTTTAATCTTTTTGACCCATGATATCTTTGTTATGTTGAAGAGTCATCTTAAAGATTGTTATCCGACGCAGGCCTGGTTTCGTCGCTGATCGGATCACTGTTGAGCATGCTTATTGTGAGTTTTTCTGCAGTATGTGAGTTTGTTGATCAAGTTTTGTTAATTTATAACATCGTTTAAAACTGTGCATTGTCAGACTTTAGTGCTTCCTTGTGCTTGTTTCTTGAGCATCCTAAAAGGGAAAGTAACACGTTTTCAGGTAACATTATTCTTTTGTTGTGCTACTGCTAAATGCTAATATACTTTGTGTGATTATGATCTAAACCTGAAAATACCATTTTGAGTGTTTATTTTTTTCTCCACAATCAACCAAATAGAAAACATTAGCTTACTTTTCAATAAGTTCGGACGAAATTATAGATATCAAATTGAAACTTTTAAAATCAAGGCCGCCCCAAAGCAACTAAGGATGATATTGTAAATTCATAAAAGTTTTTGTCCATTTTTTTTTGGCAGGGAGTAGCATGTGGCATAATAATCACAGTAGGGCTGATAGCAGCAGGCTTTGGAACATATTCTTCCTTGACAAAAATCATCCAGAATTTGATGAGCTGAGAAATTCTGTTTGCATTTCTGCATCAATAGGCTATTTTTATTTTTTGTTATTTTTTCAGTTCCAATCAGGGGATTATGATTCCTGATGACCCCTTTGATTGAACAAGGGTTTGAGTATTATGATTGTAGACATTCATGTGTTCGTCTTCTCTTTTAAATATAATTAAATTTGCAATTTATAATTTATTATGTACTTTGACAATATTTAATCCCCTGGCAAACTAATGCAACCTAAAGCCAAGAAAGCTATGGGAAGATCTATGATGACAGCCTACCAACAAAATATAATCTTATTATAAAATGAGTTTCTACTTAACTAATTTGTTTATTACCACCAAAATCTAATCTTATTAAGAAAGGAGTATGGAGTCTGATGTTATTTTTGGTTCTATGGACAGATCCAATTGGTCAAACAAGGACTTTTGGGAGCTCAAAGGAATCAAATGTAAGAAATATGATATTGTCTGCTTTGGGCATAAACATCATGATTTTGCTTTTGGTTTCACTCAAAATGACTCGTACCAATAAAGATAAGTGTCTCACTTATATACCATGAATCAATCCCTTCTTTAATTAATGTGCGATTTTGTTTGCACTTCTTGCAATCCCGACAAAAATTACTTACCTTGAACTTAGGGCAGTTGCACCGACCAATTTACTTGGAAACAGATTCTTTGGAGGCAGTCCAGCTTCAAGGATGCACACAGAGCCTCACAGAAACCACGTTGCCCATGGTGGAAAATTTGGCTGGACAGTGGATTCACAGTGCACCTGTGTGGTTAACTGACTTAGTTCAAAAGGAACTTCTTCAGTGTTTCTTGTCTTTGTTAGTCAAAAAAAAAAAAAAGGAAAAAAAGATAAAGATAAATTTAAACCCAATTTTTTAAGTGACTAGACTACGAGAATTGTGATTAAATAAAAGGATGAAATCATGTAATAATTATGAATTGATTACCATGAATTTAGCTAACGATAATTGATATGTATTTGTGATCAAGAAGTTATAAGTTTGAATCTCTTTCCGACTAAAAAGAGTTAATATAAATTTATGAAATAATTAATAGTATTTTTATCGCATAACTCAAAAGACGTTCAAGTGCTTTGACTAATTATTTTAAAGTTTTATTTTGGGCTAACAAGAAGAGTGACATTAAAACTGTTCAATTATTCTTTGTTAGATATATATCAAACTTTTCTCTATTTAATTTTTTGTTTCAATTTCCTTTACTATAATTTTTTTAATTAATTTTTTGGTCTAAATTTTCTCTCACTATCATTTTTCTTTGTTTTTCTTTTCCCCTGACTTCACTCTCTTACTCTAAAATTTTTTGTCTTTTTTAAACTTTTATCTTGCTAAAATTTTCTTTCCTATAAATATTTTGTATTTACTCTCTAAAATTTCTCTTTAAAAAATTTCATTTATCTCTCTAAACTTTTATTTGCATCTATCTACAATTAGGGATGACAAAAATATCTGTAGGGTTAGATTAACCCTCCCTAACAACGGAAATGTATTGCCTCCATGGACCCAACCCCAATTTTATTTTTTAAATAATTAATATGTTTTTTTATTGAATATTTTGCTAAATTATGGGTAAAATATTAAATATTTTTTTAAACTAATTATTTATACTAGTAATAATAATTTTCAAAATAATTTTTATATATTTATTATTCTTTTTTAATTATGAAAATAATTAAAATGAGTTACTAAATCAATAATTTTTCTTGCGGAAAGTCTCGTCCCCAAATTAGGACTCTCGATTTACGGAATCGGAGAATGAGGTGTAGACGAGGATTACAATTTTTGCAAGGACGAGGATGTGGAGGGCATCTCGACTCTCGCTCCATCCCTTATCGTCTCTATTTTATATATATATTTTTCTTTCTAACTCTCTAACTCTCTAAAAAACATTGATAACAAAAATGGTTATCAATATAGGTTTGATTTTATGTTTTTAAAAACGAAAAACAAAAATAGCTGTAAAACATATATGATTTTTGTTTTTTTAAATAGAAAACAGAAAAAAAAAAACAGGAACCAAAATCTAAAAACATATAAACAGGTCCTGAATGTTATAAAAAATGTTTGTTTTTCAAAAACGAAACCAAATATTTTTGGACTATTATATCCCTTTATTAATTTTTAAATTTACCAAGCATGCCAAATTTTATTTTTAATAATAACTTTAATTAACGAAAAGGACGAAAATTATGAATATGAAGAGCTTTGTGTTTATTTATTTCAACAATTTGTTATTTTACTTTAATTGGAATTAATAATGGAATTCAAAAATTGTTAAAATATATATTGATTTCCTCCCTACGACAATTTATCTTTATCTTAGTTTGTTTTTCATTTATTGATTACCTATTTTAAATTTTATTGATTTAGTAATGTCATATTATATAATGAATTGGTCACAGGTTAGATTGGTTAGTTATGATGGGGTTATTAGATTATATTTTTTTAGTTTAACAAATAAATTGAGATTTTTGAACCTCCTATTTTCTATTACTGAGAAACATCATTTTGTCTTCATTTACTCTATGGTTTTACCATTTCCACACACACCAAAATAATAATAATAATAAATAAATAAATAAATAATCCACAGCTGCCATCTTAGTATTAAGAAAGCTAAAAACTCTTGAATGGTAATATTATTTATCATTAAAAAAAAAGCTCAGATTTTGTGTACATAAGATGAAGCATTTACAATTTGTAACCGTTCAATCTAACAAAATATATAAAACACCCAAATTAATTGACAAATTAACTAATAGAATTTAATCAACCAAAATTACCTTAGACAATTACTTCCTACCTTAAAAAAAAAAAAAAATAATTACTTCCTACGTTAAAAGACTGTAAATGGGTTTAAATACCTTTTAATCAATAAAGGGAAAAACAGTAGGCAGTTATTATTTGTTACCATTGCTCTCTTCTAATTCATATATCAATGGTTTCTTTTGCAAAGCATGCAAAAACCACACCAAGCTTTCAGTTATATCTTTCAACTCCTATAAATATATGGACAAGATTTGCAAAAATTAAGATCAAACACAAGCACTTGAGAAATAGCAACAATGGCACGAGCTAATTACCTCATCGTTGCTCTATCACTCCACATGATTTTGCAGCTATTTCTTAGTAAACCATCTAGTGCCTTAGCGCCTACAACATCTCCGTCTTTTCCTGCCATCCTCATATTCGGCGATTCTACCGTCGATACAGGGAACAACAACTTCATTCCCACCGTTTTCAAGGCTAATTACTTTCCATATGGTAAAGATTTTCCTGACCATGTTGCTACAGGAAGGTTCAGTAATGGAAAACTGATCCCTGACATGGTGGCTTCTAAGCTGGGGATAAAGGACCTTGTTCCTCCATTTTTGGATCCAAAGCTGTCAGATGATGAAGTGAAAACAGGGGTTAGTTTTGCATCAGCTGGCACTGGTTTTGATGATCTGACGGCCATTGTACCCAAAGTCATTCCTGTGATGAAGCAGATTGATCTGTTCAAGAATTACATTCAAAGACTTCAAGGGATTGTGGGTGTGGAAGAAAGTAAGAGGATTATTGGCCGTGCTTTGGTTGTTATCAGTGCAGGAACAAACGACTTCAACTTCAATTTCTACGACCTTCCCACCAGGAGGCTGCAGTTCGATATTGGTGGATACCAAGATTTTCTACAAAATAGACTGCAAAACTTGATCAAGGTAAGTTATACAATAAACCATTAAATGAAAATGTTCAAATTTTAAGTTTAGTCTAAACTAGGATATGTTTGTTTAGTATTTGTATTTTTAAAAGTTTCTTGTGTCTGGTAAGTTATTGTTGTTGTTAACATCGTTTGTTTAGGTTTGTGTCACCAGATACTTGAACATACAAAATCAATCAACCTAAAAAGTTGAAGAACAAAACTTGTAATTAAAACTAGTTAAAACTCTCAGTGTTTGACAGAATTATGATTTGAAAATGGACAGGAAATTTACCAACTTGGATGTCGTAATATGGTGGTCGCTGGGCTTCCTCCAATTGGTTGTCTTCCCATTCAAGAGACCATAGCATTTGAGAATCCTCTAGATCGAAAATGTTTGGATGGTCAAAACTTGGATTCTCAAGCCTACAATCAGAAACTTTCAAAGCTGCTAGGCAATTTACAGCCACAACTCGCTGGAAGCACAATTCTCTATGCAGATATTTACACCCCACTCATCAACATGATCAATAGTCCTCGCAATTATGGTAAGTTAATACCTACACAACATTAGAAACATCATGTATTAGTGATAATCTAATGCAGTAAATATTTGAAGGAAGTCAAGTTATGGAAAATGTTTTAACATAAAATATGTTTGGGCATTGAAGCTAATGCAGTATATGTTCGAGTTTTGGTAACAATTTCCACCTAACATTGTTTTGTGCATTTCATCGAACAGGTTTTGAGCAGACGAACATAGGTTGCTGTGGAACGGGATTGGTAGAAGCAGGGCCTCTGTGTAATCCAAAAACCGCAACGTGTGAAAACCCATCAAAATTCTTGTTTTGGGATAGCATTCATCCAACTGAAACGACCTACAAGTTCATAGCTGATTCGCTTCTCGAGCAACTTGGCGATCACCTGATTCAAAATTGATGCCCTTTTATCGATTTCTAGTTCTAGGGCTCAACTCTTGAAAATCTTTTAGCTGATATAGAACTAAAATTAAACTTCTTTGTATTCGCAATACTACTTTCAAGTTATTCACAAAGAGAACTCTCTATAGATGCAAAATTTGAAGTTCTCTCAAGACTCAATACTAGTCCCGTGTTTTAAAAGTAAAGAATTATATACTTGTTTTATATGCTCTCGAATATCATATTTGTATGCGGACTATGGCATCACACCATATTTGTTGTAATACATTCAAATAAGAATCATGATTAAAATTTTTGAGTCACCACGTCAATAATATAAAATAAATATGTATTTTAAATAGAGTAGAAAGTTTAAAATTGGAAAAAAATATAATTCAAATCAAATTCAAATTCAATTTTAATGTAAAATACACCGAAAAAGTCACATAAAAACTTGTGATATATAATTTTTTTAATACAAATTAAGCTCACACTATCCAACAAAATTTCTAAAGATTGTTTCTTAGTATTACAAATTTTTTTAATACCATAATATCAACAATTTAAACCTATAATTTTTTTTTAAAATATTTGTTTAGTGTAATAACATGAAAATTTAAACCTCGATCGAAAATATATACTTTAATAAATTAAACTATGTCTATAAGTATAAATAGCTTCAGTAGGGAACGGAATACATGCATTAAAAATTCCGTCAAAAAAAAAATACATGCATTAAAATTACTACATTTAATATCTCTGATATTTAAGGCACTTTCTTTTAGTGGAATTTGTAGTGGGCCCCGCCCTTATAATTTTCCATTTTGTAGGTGGATAAAACATTATGCGACGTGGCTTAACGTGAGTGGCCGACGAAAGGCGGTCCGGTAGTTGCAAACATACCGAACGTACCGTCTAAATATCGCCAAACGATTGTAAAACAACGATATATCTCTTTCCAATATATCCGGAGGCGGAGACGATACGATAAAATGATGATCCATTTTAAGAACCCGACCCGGAATATGGGTGGCCCGGTATGGAAATATCTCTGTTCTTTTATTTCCTTAAATATCTGTTTGCTTAGTCAGATTGAAAGGATTTCTAACTTTAAATAATTATTTATAAAATTACCCAAACATCAGCATATAATATAACGTCATGATAATGGCCTTTGTTTTTTATTATTTGTGTTTTAAAATTTAAGTTTATTTAAAATGTTTACTGATTTATTTTTTTAACAAATGAAAATACATGTCTTTTAAGTTACTATTTCTAATTTTTAAACTTTGCAATAATTTTAAAAAATAGAATAAGCATATATTTTAAACATGTCGTAGATATCATTTACCTATCACTAATAAAATGCACTAAAAAAAAGCCAACCACACCACATGAGTCGAGTGCTTTAATCTTGCTAGAAGGAAGATTGATTAAACTATATGTATACGATAGCATCTTAAACCTCAATATTGTAAAACATTTTCCATCATACGGGTTTGAGAATTTCATTCTCATTACAAACTTGCATTTAAATACTAATTCGAGCCTAAATTAATTGGTTAAGACATATATCTTCGACCAAAAGATCGAAAAGTGCTCAACCAAAAAATCTGATATTCGAGCACCTCTACATGTTGTTTAGCTAGAACAAAGAAACACACATTTTAAAATATTTCCTAACATAAACATACCTACTTTAAATCAACACTATATTTTTAAGAATAATATGTTGA